GGTGATTTTAATGTTGCATGGTTTGAATTGGCATCTGGAAGTGTCTGTCTCTCCACTGACCATACAGCAGTCCTAAACAATTAATCTACACTAGACACTGAACTTTGTGAGAGCTAACAATAAATGAATCTTACTTGTGAGATCTTTGTGCCTCCACTGCACATCTCTACAATGAGTTTACAAATAATTCCTTCCCTAAATGCTGATATTTCACCTCTACCTAGATGGGAACTCTCCCAATGAATTTTTGTTAGGCCTGACTAGTCGATACTTTTTCTTTGAATACATGTATTTCAGTTAAAAATGAAGCACTCGGAAGAATTACAGCAAAAGGTGACGAATATTTTGTGCAAGGCAGAGTCAAGAATGAGAGTTCCAGAGAGAGCTAGTAGGTGCCCACCCCACACCGACTAATGGTCAGTGCACTTATGGGTGTGATCCTTATGCAGACACGTTCTCTGGTTCAGGTGAAAGGTTTGAACTTCAGGCCATAGACACCTATTCGCTTAACAAGCATCTGCGGCAACTCCATTTAACCAGTCTTAGGTGATGGTTTTGGCTAAGCCTCAGACTGGATTCGTGGGTAAGTGATCATGAAGATGAGTCTGCTGCAGGGGCTGTAAAAGCTTATGGATGGACAGCAACAAGGGAGAGAGAAGGTAGCATTTCAGAGCTATTTTTGCCAAGGTTAAGTGAAAACGTGTCTATACCTTGGAAGCCTCACATCCCAGACAGAAACCTTACTCTTCAGGCTATACAGGAAGCCTTATAGTCTTGGAGCCAATTGATATTAATTACATATACAAAAAAGATTGAGTCTAATAGGACCAATTAAGATGTTCACTCCAGAAACCACTCCATAAAGGACTGATCTAAGATGTGAAGAACATGGTTCATATCCCAGTTTTGCTTAATTCAGAGATGAGATTTTAATGTACGTCTCTTAAACCAAAATGAACATCCTAATCACTAAGATATCAGCCATTTTGGAGTAAATCTCTTCTTTCTAAAAAGAAGGAGAAAAACAGAGGGAGAGACAGAGGAAGGAAGGAAGAAGGACAGAAGGACAGAAGCAAGCAAAGAAGGAAGGACAGAAGGAAAGAAGAAAATCTCATCTTCATTCTTCTTTAGTATTAAAATGAATCTAAAAATAGTATAATTTTCTTGCAAGATGTAATATTGTTCTTCTTCTACCTAGACATAGTTTAAATATTATCACAAATGAAAAGAGTAATATTAATAGAAGTCATAGGAACAGGTGCCCAGACTTAATATTTGGAGGAATATTTGGGCAAAATACCACCTTTCATTGCCAGGAGCAACATTAATTCCCAAATGTGTCCAAGACGTCTTAGGATAAGCGCTATAAATTTGTACCTTTCCATAGACCCCTGGGAAAAACAGAAGAAGATTAAAAGTTAGGGTAAAGAGAGACTTGAGAAGAACTGAACCAATAACTAAATACATAGAAATCTTTATATTTATTAAAACATGCTTCTATATTTTATAAAAAGTGTAAGAACAGCACATAGCCTCCACTTGAAATACAAAGTGAACTAGAAATAAATTATTAATAAAGTAAAATGACCATCACATGTAAAGGCAAGAAAGGGGATTGTGCCATAGAAGCCTCATTAACTCAAACTGGAATTGCAGACAAAGGTATCTACCTTAAAAAAAAAAAAAATCTACCTAAGTAAACAAAATAAGTAAAAAATCCAGGAATGAAAGACAGAAAAAATTACTCAGCTATTAGGAACTCCATCTACAAGAAGGGCCGGAAGGAGGATCCGGGGAACTACAGGCCTGTTAGCCTGACCTCAGTGCCGGGGAAGATCATGGAGCATTATTTATATTTCTGATCTGTGAAAAATTCACTTTTTTTTTCTGGAAAGGGGATCCAAACCCAGAGTAAAAAACCAAAATATAGAAACTTTTCATATAGATGACATGTTCCAAGAAGATTACATTTGAAGCATGAAAAATTTCTGATTTCCTGCATTGAAATATTTTGTTTCAATTTGCTGACCTGATCTGAAATCTTTCAGTTTGAGTCAATTCAACATTTGTTCTGCATCTCTAATAGTGACACATTGCTTCAGAGGAGTTGTGCTTCAAGTATTTAGTGAACCCATTTTAATGCTTGGGTTAATCTCCTCCATGGACAACTTTTTCCATGACATGGAAGTCAAATTGCTAGCTCCTGTTATACTTCAACTCCTAAGTAATTTAGACTTAAAAACCCCACAGAATCCAGAATCAAGTAGGCTTCTGTCTTGCCTTCCAAACATTCCACTTAGCTATTTGCTAGAAGTTTGTAATTGCTTGATCAATGTGTGCAATAGTTTCAGAATGTCACTATCAGAAACAAATTGGGGGGGGTGGGGGGGGTGGATTGTTCATTTGTTTTTTCTCTGAATTTCTGTAATATTCTACAAATCTTGATCAAGGCAATTTCTTTTGACAGCAGTTTGAATTTCTGCTGTCTTTACAAAAGTTCAGCAATGAATGAAGCCTTGCAATACTCAAGTAATTTTTAAAACATGTTTTAAAACATGGAAAACAGAAAAGTTAACATTTCTTTAACCATAATTACATGAGGAGACGTAAAAGTTAACATAAACCTTCTTTTGTCAATCTTTCTATGAGTCCAAATGTTTTTGAAATATTTAAATGTGTGTATTTGGATCCATCCAGTAGCTCTTGGATGTAGTTATCTCAATTAAGTCAGGCTTTAAAAATAGCGATATGAGTTTAAACTCATGATCCTAGCCTGGAAACTTGACTGCAATTTGCTTCATCCTAAGAAAGACCAAAGATAACTGAGTCAAAATGCCCTCTGGCAATGTGCATTTCTCTCCACTCAACAAGGTCATCTTGGTTTGAATACTCTCAACTTTGAAAATTACCTTTTACAAATCTCAGATCTAGAACTAAGATCAAACCCTTGTACATGTGTGTAAGTCCTTTTAAGTCCTCTCCAGTTTCTCATATAAAGACCTCAGGATTTGACACCTGGTTGATCACTTCTGTCAAATTTTACCTAAACAAAATCCACAGAAAATCCAGGAATTAACCTGGTGAAAGTTAACAATTTCAGCTCAAAAAATGTGTGTACCTTTGTTAGAAGTTTTCCTGCATGACACAGTAAAAGGCTCAGCAGTGGTAGACTTGGCTATTGCCTAAGATTGGTTTCCTATGAAAAGGTGAACTCATGTTTCATACCAATACTCCCTGGGTGGACATTTATTTCCTCCAGACGATCACAGTAAATCTCTTCAGATGCCCGAAGAAGGACCAGCAGCTTTAAATCCCTTTCTAGGGGATGTTGAAAAGAACCTGCAATAAAGACAAAACAGCAACAACCCACCACAAAGGTATCAATGGCTTTTGAAATGCTGAAGGGGGGGGGGAGCGGAACTGGGTTGCGTGAATCCAAATTTAGAGGTCTAAATGACTGAACTAGCATTTTCCTCCTCGGCTCAGTTTTGCCTTTCTGCTCTATTACAATTTCACCAGTTCCCAGGTAATCATGAGTCCTGCAGCCAGGATGGGTAAAATGGTCTTTCAGACCAATGGAAAGATTGAGGGAAAAGAACAAGGGAAAAGAAAATGCCCAGGAAGTGTTGGTGTGTGCGATGGTGCTCTTATCTTGTGGTGATAAGTCTGTACAGTAAAATGTATTCCAACTGTGACTTCATTTATTTCACCAAGGGTAGTTTACAGTTTCAGAAGAAAATGGCCCAGCACTAAACAGATACTAAGGAGGAAAAAGTAGGACAGTTTTTGCCCTGGAGAAATGTATGCGGAGTCCAGTAAAAGAGTTCAGCGTTCCTTTAATATTAGAGATTAAATCAATTATGCAACAGAAAACTGCGGCAGATGTAGAACTAAAAAATATATACATATCTGTATAAAATTAGCTGGCCTGTCATGTTCTTTTAATATTTAAAAATTACTAGTTTGGAAAAGAGAGCTGATTTTGCATCCTAAAGAAACATTCCTCTTTAGGAGCATTTTTTAATTAAGTGAAATCAATAAATAAATTCATTGTTCTGCACCAGTCTCTGACTGATATCCGTGGATATTTAAATTATCCGTACATCTTTTAAATGGGTAAAAGAAAAACAGTACAAGACTTGCATGCTCCCCCTGTAATATATCTCACACCAGTGAGCTTGTATCTTCTCTGGGGACATGGAGGGAACACATTCAGTCTTACAGTGTCCATCATTTATCCAAACCATCTTTGACTTTCTTGTTTAAACTCCCACAACTGTGGTTTGAACAGAAGAAAACCAGGAACTGGGCTGTAACCAAATACTACCTTCAGAAACCAAAACCAGTGATAAGCACTTTCACCACTGATGCACTAGGTTAAACAAATATCCAGCTAGAGCAGCAGAAGAGTTATGTAGATATTTGTGTCTATTTTTGTACTCAGAGTGATTGTTTTCCTGCTTCAACCTCACAGCAAGTTGTGATTTGCCCCTGTACTCGGCACTGGTGCGGCCGCACCTTGAATACTAACTGAGGCGCTTAGGGACATGGTTTAGTGGGCATGGTGGTGTTGGGTTGACGGTTGGACTCGATGATCTTGGAGGTCTCTTCCAACCTTAATGATTCTATGATTCTATGATTCAAAATACTCCGCCTGGACATACCTTTCCCAATCCTCAGGTCAACCTTACCCCCTGGGATGAAGTTATTAGCTACACTGATGACCAAAGAAAGACTCAACAAAAATGTTTGGAGACCTTTATATTGATCTTACAACGTTATTCACAATTACCATTTCCTAATCGTGATGATGTCCCTTAAAGTGGGGGATTATTATTAATTATCATTATGAATTATTGTTGGTGTTATTATTAGTGTTATTATTTTACTGCTGGTTCCAAAGCGTTTACTATTTCTTCTAGTTAAGTCAGTTAAAAATAGCTATGTGATGTATCCAATTCTCAGTTCAATTTTAAAACAATTTTTAAGTATGCTTCCAGGATTAGCAATCACAGGCAAATGCTTGGATACGTGAATTTTAAAGGCTTGAATTGGAAGTTATCACTCCTTTAAAAGGATTACGTCTACATTTAGCTAAAATTTGTGACTTTTGGTCCTAAAAAGCATGACAATGGGTTAAGGAATGTTACCCTTGTTAAAAAAAAAAAACAAAACACGCAACACATATAATCGAGTGAGAAACAAAGAAGTTATAATAAAACTATTCATAATAGTTCATCACCATATTGAATCCTTAGAAAAGAAAACAAAAAAATGGGAAGATACCGTTCACAGAAATGCTTCAGTGGCTGGAAACTGTAAATGGTATATGACACAAAAGAACACAGGAGATATCTATGAATAGAAAAATTAGACTTGTTTTAAGTATCTTTAGAACAAAATAATCTTAATACTTGCTTATTTCCGTTAATAGTTCTATGGTGTTAAATCAATGGATTTCAGTAACTTGAATGCAAATGCTACGGAAGAGTGAGCCCAGAAACTCGTTGGACTGTTAAGGCGGACTTTTCAGTAAGTTTGGGATCACTCACGTTGTCTCAGAGCACTTGAAGAAAGCTAATATTGTGCCAATATTTCAAACAAAGATAAAAGTAGGACCCCCAGGTAATTACAGGCCTGTCAACTTGACACTGATTCTAGGGGAAAAATAAATAAAAATGGAATGTCCAATTCTGAACACAATTAATAAATCATTAAAGGTGGATGATATAATTAATGCCAATCAACCTGGTTTTATAGAAAAAAGGTCCTGTGAAACTTCCTTGTTACCATCGTCTAATGAGATTACAGGTTTAGTTGATAAAGATAATAGCTTCGATATAATATAATTGGCTTCTCCAAGGCACTTGACTTAGTAGCACAAAACTTTCTGATTAACAAACTACACTGGCACGACATGAACATGGTACACGTTAATTCACAGGCTGACTGACTGGAATGGGGCCATTGACTTAAGCAGGTTTGTTTCTGGTGTGGTCTTGCAAGCCCTGTGGTAGGGAACATTTTATCAGTGACCTGAAGGAGTATGAAGATACGGAAAATAAGCAGATAAGCTGACACGAATGGGCAAAAAAATATATTAAAGAGATGGGCCAGCAAAGACAGCAATAATTTGGAAGTGAAGAATTAGGAAAGAAAGTGAAGAATGTTCAAACTATAATAAAACAGGTCTTGAAAAGGCAAAGCTCTCCGTGTGAATGGATGGAGAACAAAGGAAAACAAAGGAAAAAGCTGAGAAAGGTCTGAGATATGCTTTTGGTTTAGTCTAAATACAGCCCTATCAAATGGCTCATGAAAATGGAGGTATGGAAACGGCAGTTACCTCAGCTTACTCATAGGGAAATCCGAAATAGTTCATGCACACAAGTCACTGGGGCTGGGTAAGTTTCATCACCTTATGAAGTAACGGGCATATGAAATCACAGCTCTAAGTAGTTTTGTTAAAACTACCAAGTTTTGAACATGGACTGGAACTATGGTCCACATAAACACTGGAATCATAATTACTGCAACACATATGTGAAGGATCTGGGCTTTACAGCCTGTCTTTGAACTTTGGATGTGAAAGCTTCAGGTTGCTTGCCCCACTTCATTGTGGTGAACAAGTCCTACATAAGATGACATCAAACTGCTGAATTACCCATCCTGCACGAGACATGCAGAAATGGATCCCACTTCATACTTCTACTACAACTGGAATGTTTACCAATTTGATGAGCAACCTGGTTGATCATAAGGTGAGATAATAAGGCACCACCGGCAGAGAACCAGAAAATAGGTAATTGCAACCAGAAGCTGCTAGAAGTGTCTGGTGAGATGTGCAGAAAAGGTCAGGAGGGACTAATGACAACGTACACAGATAATAGATAGGGCTTCCTCAAACACATCTTCTTCCAACTGGAAAGTTTATCCGGAATTTGAAGGCTTTGCTCATCTGTCCAGATCTGGCACATATCTGCCAGCCTGAGCAGTGCTCGTGAGCAGTGGTTTGTCCACTCTGGATATCTCAGGCATTTCCTCGGAGTAGACACAGGTCAATCTGTTGGTGCGTAGGCAGCAAGCATGCAACTTTCTACGAGCTGGGCTTTCTGCGCAGGCACTGCACAGTCCGCTTGTGTCTTCACTGTCTGTCTGATGATTGATGTCACATCAAATGGCCTCACTGCAGGTGTGTGACCTTCTACAAGGGGTATCTAAAGCTGATGTTCTTCCAGGGAGTGCTGGCACCACAACACATGTACTACACAGTGCAAGAAAAAACCCATCTATGATAATCCTATGTATAAGAAACAACTTATGCTGCTAATAAAGTCACTGCTGATTACATACTTTCCTGAAGAAATGTAAGGCCCAGTGGCCAGGATTGCAACACAGATCTGTTAGCGTAATTGTTGCAGCTGATTCATAATCCTTCCTCAGGTCTAACCTCTGGAGAGGATAAAAACACACTATGCGAAAGTAGGAGGAAAAAAAAAAGGGGGGGGGGGGGGGCGAGGGGAGAACAGACAGAGAGGTGTGTTTTTTCTACCTGGATTTTTCTTGGATACTTATTCTGGACTGAAGCCTGGATCTAGTTTGCTGTTGAGTTTCAAAAGCATTTTCCATTGTTTTCATAGTTCAGTTTTATTCCAGATGTTCTTTCTGACAGTATTTGTTGTGTTTTTTCCTTTTTCCATAGCAAAACCCATTCAATTCTTTCCTAGAATAGTGGGTGTTTCCTCCCTTCTAGCCTTTCCTTTCTTTACAACATAACACTCTGCAACAGCTGTTGTATATAAGAGCAAGGAAATCTCTGAGATGAGGTCGCCTCCCTTCCATTGGCAACTAGACTTTGGTAAGTATCTTGTAGTGACCATCTCCAGTATCAGCTCTGTGTTTCCTGAATTCAAAACTTCTTGGACTCTATCTACCCAGCTATTTTGAAAACAGTGGTATATTGTCACCAGAAAGTCTGAAGAGTTTTTATTCATGATCAATGCACAGCTGGATAGTCACCTCGTGTTTGTTCTTCCCAAGCTGTTCCTTCAGGTGTTCAGACTGCACTCTGCAAAGAAGCCTATAAAAGCAGCTGTGAGCAAGGAGACATCACATGGGTTGCCTCTTACAGGTGGTGCTGCCAAATAAACAGAAGAGATGAGAGACAGACAGCTGTGGAGTAGGAACCAGCAGCCAGAAGTGAGATGAATGTCCAAGGAATAAGAAGTGAGACACGTAGGATAGGATTCAGCTGCCTAAATGTAGATGTCTAATGCCACCTGAGAGTCCTGGTGCCCTCCAAATCCACTATGTGAGGTTGGCAGATACAAGACAGAGATCAATGACAGAACAGTGGCTTTTTAAGCAGAAGCTGGAGGCCACGTGGGACACCTGAGGGTGCCCAAAGTGATACAAAATCCTTACAGTTAGACAACTGAACCATGTTTCCAGGGAGATTCATATACCTACATTTAGGTTTCTTAATGCAGATGTTTCCATGTTCTCTGGCTGTCTGAGCTAATAAAGATCAGACAATAGAGTGTAGACTGCAATTTTGCTCTAGATACCTCTACCTGCCAGTCCAACTGACTGCAGTGGCTCCACTGACTGGATTGGCTACATCTCCGCTGAAACAGCCAGCTCACATGCTGATGTCCACATGTTATGCCTAAACTTGGGTGTCTTAAACATGTGAACCAAATCACTTCCCTAGATGATTACGATCAGCTAAAAGAAACCAAGTGGCTTGGAAAGGATAAAGACCAAATGGATGGAGGCTGAGAGATGAATTGAAGGGGATGCAGATGGTGCAATGAACTTTTCAAACCACTTTTTCTGTGATCAGGGATGAAAAATCGCTCTCAATACATCCACAGTATTGGATAGCTGTGCAGGCATGCTATGTGACTGTAGGATGGGATTCAGGCCACAGCTAAATAAGATGGGACCCACACAACAGAGGTACTGGAGAAGCTGGAAAAGGTAGCCAATTGGTGAAACTCACTTGTGTCCTAATTGTTGTTATAAGGCTGAGCATTAATCATCACTAACACATGGTCATTTCATGAAGTACAGTGATTTACCCTTTGGGACGTCAATATGGGGGTTCTTACTAGTACTGAAAAGAAGGGGAGTGAATGCATTAGAGCTCTCTTACCACAAGCAAGATAAGAGACATCAGAAATATCTAGGGTTTCATCTCCAGGCAATCAAGCCATAAGCTAATGATGACCTTAGGCTTCTTGCCTCAAATGAGTGACATGCCTGACAAGCAGCCATCATGAGATATGCAAAAAAAGAATGTGACAAGTTGAGACTAAAAAGAGAAATCCTAGCTGGATAATTACTTGGCGAGTACTACTATAAAAAGCAAAAATAGCCTGCCAGCAAAGAGCAGCCGAGTACAGTGGAGTTCAGGATGAGTCCAATGGATCAATTTGTGCAAAACAAACTTCAGCATTTTCTGCAGCCTTATCAGGAACTGAGGGCTTTGTTCAGCAGTGGAACAGGGCACTTTCTGCGCATATCATCTGTGCATTAATGCTGACTTATGGGTTAAAATGAATGGAACCACCCTAGCAGAGAACCAAAAAAAAACCTCTGAGTTGTTGAGCTCAACATTTTCTTTCTTATTCTGACACAGGTGTGCTAATTATATTTAGCAAATCACTTAATTTCTCTGAACCTTAAACTCTCCTTCTATAAACTGGAAAAACAGCTTTTTTTCTTTTTTTTTTTTTTTTACAGCATGGCAACACAGTGAGGTAGAAATAAATGGTGTTTCTAAAATGCTATTGCAAATATCACCAGGCTAGGAGGACCCAGAGGAATTACTGTAGGGATAGATCCACACATTTTACTTCTGGGTTGTCCAAGGGCTCTGACAGAGTTCTTGCAGCCCTTTACAGAGCTTTCATCATTTCACATCTCCCAGTGATTCTGTTGATCATAATTCACACTGGATTGTGATTATATATTGACGAGGAAAGTGATGAAAAACCCTCCAGGAACATAGGTGTCCCAAGAATTCTGATCTTCCAACTGACACTGTATTTTCTCATTCCAGTTTCCCTGCAAATTATTGTTTTAATAAAATTAATTAGGTTCTTGTTATTTCATAACCTGCAATTTTAACACTGGTTTTTTTCCCCTTGGTTATGTATTTCTCATCATCACTGAGTTCCTATGCACTTATAGTCATGTTTTACCATCTGCCGTTTTTTCCTTGCAGATAAGATGTCAAGTGCTCTGAAGGGCACCAAAGTCCAAGATTTGTTTGTAGAACTTATCATTGTTCTCCAGCAGTTTAAGTGAACAAAATACTCGGGCTCTATTAGAGAGTCTTTGGCCCAGGCCACTGAATTAGAAGCAACAGCATGTGGCCAAAGATTGCTGTACTGAAAACAGGGCATGGAGAAGTTACACAACAGGGAGGACCTGGGGATTTGGCTCACATGATGTCAACCTCAGATCCTGCTCAGGCAATGCTGAACGCTGATGTCCACATCTATTAAATCTGTTTACTAAACTGTCTCATTATCTATTTTGTGTCAGGATTTCTTTAGGGTGTGGTAGAATTGGACAGATGGGCTTCAGAACCTTCCTTTGGGCATGGAACAGTCAGGATTGGACAGATGGGCTCCAAGAAGCTACCTTTAGGCCTTGAACACATGGGAAGAGAAAGAGGAAGGGAAAAAAAACCTCTTGCACTCTCAGTTTTACAAGCAAACATAGAAGCCAGTATAAGATGTGGGAAACCTGCGGAGTCTCTACCCACCTATCATCTCACAGCTGAAACTGGAGCAAGGATACCTCTCCAGAAGATGCTGGACTACGATTTAACAGCTGTAAATACCTGTTTGGCTTTTAATATCATTACTACTCATAGATGTGCTGGAGGGGAGTTTGTGCAGCAAAGAAAGAAGTGCCTCAATGTTTTTTAATATGTTTTTAGCAATGAACACATGCTTTTTCTTAAAACCAATATGAAACCACATTTAAACTACAAAAGAGTATAAGTAAGAAATGACTGAGATTCTTTTAAGTATATATATATATATATTAACCTCCCAGATTAGGCTTTCAAACCCCTTTTTCCAAAGAAAAACACAAGGCAGTAAAATAACTCTTCTGGCCAGTACTGTATTAACTAAACAGTCCCTTGAGATTAACAACAAACAAATATTGGAGCAGACTTCCTCAGGAGGTGATTACACAAACAAATTCTCTTTTTAAAGTTCATGAAACCAATCTTGAGAAAGGTCAAGAAGTGATCAACAATGTGATCCCAGCGTCCTAAGGATTCCTGTGAGTAAATACAATGCCTGGCTTTAGGAACCTTGATATTTAAAGGGAATTATGTGAGTAATTACTTCTGTGTGGAAAAACACCGATCCTGTCTGTTGCAAATAATGTGGAACAGCCCCAGTGACATTGGGGACTCTGAAACTACTAGAAGTAGGGAAGGTGGTACCTCCCTGAAGTCCTGGTGCTCATCTGTACAGAGGGATGAGAGGAACAAATGTGCTGAATCCAGCTGTGCCAGTTTCATGCCACAGCGGGATTTCCAGGCGCTCTGGGGATTCTCCGTGACTCTGTTTATGTTGGCTTTAAATACTTCTGTGTCACCTAGAAAGTGTCTTACTAATGCCCACAGACACCAGGCACTGCCTGAACACTAAGGTAGATCCTGCCCGGAGGAATTACTGTCTCATAAAGCAACTCCACATGAAATAGGGAGGACTTTTACACACATCAGAAAAAATCTCAGCCACGATGAAATCAGGAGTATTGCCATTAGCTCCAGTGGGGTGAAGACAGCAGTATTTGTAATATGTTGCTATAAAATGAACGGGTAATTAGCTCCAGTGGATAACCATTGTGCTTAACATGGATTCTGGGTGTCCACATTGCAGATATCCAGATAGCTATGTGGCATTAGGATGGCCAGCATGTTTATGGTAACACTACATATTCTTTCTCCCCACTTTCTCTGTCTATCAAAAGCAGAAATAAACCCCATGCATCCAGAAGACAGGCTGCTCACTTACCCACTTTCAGCGTACCCCCCACCACCACAATACAGGCTGCACTCAGGACATTGCTGGAGTTGCTGGGGAACTCGAGGGTCCCCAGGATGTAGAGACCTCTCAGAGGGGGAAGAGCCGTATCCACCAGGATGGTCCTGTCTGAGAAACAAAGCATAGGGTTGTTTAGAACGATGGCAGCCTACCAACAGTACTTGCCAAAAAGTGTGGCATGGAGGTGAAGAACATTAACTTTGCTTGAGTTTTGCTTTATTTAGATTGTTTTTGCTTAGAACTACTGGAACAGGGCTTGTGTGTTTGTGCAGCATCCACAACCAGAACCTCATCTACAGCTGAGGCTCCATGGTGTGGCTGTAATCTGATAAATGAACAAGAACATAATATTTACAATGATACTGTTGCATGCTTAAGTCTCATCAAATGTTGCCTGAACCTTTAAGAATGCATGTGAAGGGCAGCAAGTCAGAGACATGTTAGTCTCGCTACGTGAATCTGGCACTGTTTATGAAAGTAAATCTTGATCACCCAATGCAATGAAACAGGGCTAAGTGAAGCTGTGTCCGGACAGCATTTTTCCCTCATGGCATTAAAGAGAACAAGATTGATGGAAATGAAAAAATCCAGCCGTGTCAAATAGGTTCTTCACAACAAGGAGAGCTTGCAAGTCCCCACCTTGTTAACAGCAGTGATCAGGGTGACAAGCTGAAGCCACACACCACAATCCACCTCCAGTGACACCCTGACCCTGCTTTTGCCCCCCTGCAGTTTGGCTTTGCTCCCTCAGGTTTTGTGTATAAAAGCCCACCTCTTCCCCTCCAGCCAAGAGGAAAGTTTTGCTTACATCAACACAATCTGCAGGAAGCCAGACTTCACAAGTGGTGCTCCCCAGGGCTCAGTTTTGGGGCCAGTTCTGTTCAATATCTTTATCAACGATCTGGATGAAGGGATCGAGTGCACCCTCAGTCAGTTTGCAGACGACACCAAGTTGGGCGGGAGTGTTGATTGCTTGAGGGTAGGAAGGCTCTGCAGAGGGACCTGGACAGGCTGCATCGATGGGCCGAGGCCAACTGTATGAGATTCAACAAGGCCAAGTGCCGGGTCCTGCACTTCGGCCACAACAACCCCATGCAGCGCTACAGGCTTGGGGAAGAGTGGCTGGAAAGCTGCCTGGCGGAAAAGGACCTGGGGGTGTTGGTCGACAG